TGTTGTTATTGTCAGCCGTGTGCATTAAATGATAAATTGAAACTTAAAAGTGAGCTGAGCTATTCTAGATGTATTTTCACACAACACATACTGTGTGAAGAAGAAGAAGAAGAAGGCGTTTCATTTACTGATGTCACTTCTTGATTTCAGAGTCCTCCAAACTGACTTTCCTTTTGCTTTCTTTGAGATCCACCTGCCTGTGCTGTTGCTTCAAGCAGCTTTAATAGAACTGTCATCATATTTTGTTTGTCATATCATTCAAAAATAGTTCAGATACAGCAAAAAAGTAATATGCTTCTGAATATTGTAATACGTCTTCTGTCTGTCTGTCTTTGTACCTCAATTTCCTCTTTCTCTGTTTGTGCTAGATGAAGGCATTTCACTAAGAAATAAAGTGCTTGGGTATTTGACCGGCAGTGACTGGATGTGATTGGCAGACTCTACAGTAGGGAGGAAATTAAGCCATGGGTAACATGGGGGGGTGAGGTGGGGGGGTGGGGGGGGGGGGGGTTGTTTAAGCTGAGAAAGACACAAAGAGAGAGTCTGAACAAATGAGACCTGAAGCCCCAGTAACTGGTCCACTGCCTCAGACTGAAACTGTACAAGTGAGGCAAACCAGTAACAACTTCATTAAGTGGTTTGGTATCTGTGGTTAGTTCAAGATAAATACATAACAACTTAAAAAATCCAGATGTTTTAATTAAATATCTTTGATCAAATAATCTCGGGGAATTTGATTGAACCTTTAAAGATTTTACATTTTAACATTTAACATTTACATTTTAGAGATTAAAGATTTACCGAGTGTGATGAACCAACAGTGAATTGGTTTGTCGCTCATCACACTCAGCAAACCCATTATTAAATACATTTTATTACAAGGATAAAGCCCTTGAGATGAACCATCTCGTCTTGGAGGGGGAGTCCTTAACACAAGATACAATACATAAAGCGCAACAGCACAATTACACTCACACATGCACAGACATTAGCTCTCCCAGCCCCAACCCCTCCCACACCCACTGATTTCTCTCATTTTCCCAGAAGGAAATAAATAAATAAGTGAATAAACAAATAAATGTATATGTGCCCATAAACGTTAGACATAAATCTGCATTAGTTTACATGCACCATCACAATAAAAAATATATACAGTATATTCCAGAATTATTTATAATTGTAATTATAAGTGTTTACATGCATATACCCACGCTCATACATACACACATATGCATATACATAAATGAATATGCTAACATATACACACTTGTAAATATATGCATATGCACATATACATAGATGCATAAATCAAGTATCAAAATGAATGCTGCTCACTGTGAGGTCTTTCACTGTGGTAAGTAAGTTGTGATCGTTAAAGGTTTTTTTTGGAAACAAATAAATTCATGTTTACTCATTGATTCTGATCGTTGTGTGTATCTTTGAGGTCTGTAGCCAATTTTAAACGTTTTTCAAAACCTGCATTTTGGTAGCTAGCAGCGCTCTTCCCTTCATGCTACATATCATGGGGTGTTACCACCGAGGCCTCGGCTCTACTCGCTCATGGACGCGTACTTGGAGACGTAGTTGTTTAGAGGGCGCACACTACGAATCAAGTCGAAATGGTGACATCCGTTCAAGAAGAAGAAAAGCTGCTTCGTCTGCTGTGCTTATTCTTTTCAAAGATAAATTGTAGAAGTGAGGGTAGTTGTGAACCTCCTCACGCAGCCTCTCTTGTTTTCAAGAATGTAAAAATATTGAACAGCTAATGCTCCTGGAAAAGTTAGGTCTCATATGGTAAAAATCTTATTAACCTTTTTACTATCAGCTAAACACAGGGGTCCCCCAACCACCAGAAACCTCAACATCAGGATCTCCAGTTGTGTCCAAACTGACTGAAATGTCTTTAGATAAATTAGATATCTAAATCTAAGTGTGTTGTTGTTTGCTGACGGTGTTAAAGGTTGTTCAGAAGAACAATGTTCGGAACAGGACTGAAACCGGCTGATTTATTAGTTCAATGTATCAAATACATGATTTTAAAAAAGAAGATCTCTAACTCAAGCTCTTTAGTTGCTGTATATATGTGAATAGACCTCACGTGTACACGGTCAGAGAGGATTACAGACTTCAGTGTGATGAGTAATGCCTGTGTCTGACTTGCCTTTCACATACAGAGTGTGGAATTCTATGAATAGTTTCTCTGCCGTGAGCCAAAGGTGTGACAGCAAATGTGTTGTAGAGATTAAACTCTGTGTTTCTGTGTTGGAGACTTTTCTCTCGCACTGACGTAGTGAGTCATCTCTCAGTGGGGTGAGCAGCAGCTGCAAGGCCGGGCCACCACCGGAGGGATGTGGAACACCTTGGCTGCTGAAACTCCCGAACGCCCCGACGGCCTTCAGTGGGTTTGAAGTAGCCAGAGGTGCAACGGTATGATGACTCATAACCAATGGATGTAACAGGCCACTGCTAACAGAACAGGGCTGCTGATGCAACACTGTCAAACCAATGCTTGCTGAGTCAAAGCAGAGAGGGAGACACATCAATGGCAGGAAGAAGAAGCTCACAGACATATCATACAGTGGGAAACATTCAACAACCCCCCCCCCCCAAAAAGGCCCCGGTCCAAACCCAGCAGCAGCTGCAAGGCCGGGCCACCACCGGAGGGATGTGGAACACCTTGGCTGCTGAAACTCCCGAACGCCCCGACGGCCTTCAGTGGGTTTGAAGTAGCCAGAGGTGCAACGGTATGATGACTCATAACCAATGGATGTAACAGGCCACTGCTAACAGAACAGGGCTGCTGATGCAACACTGTCAAACCAATGCTTGCTGAGTCAAAGCAGAGAGGGAGACACATCAATGGCAGGAAGAAGAAGCTCACAGACATATCATACAGTGGGAAACATTCAAAAACCCCCCCCCCCCCAAAAGGCCACTGTCTATACTCATGCATGATTCATAAGTGTTTCTTCTCTTTTATGCAGACGTAGCTGTTTCCAGAGAGCAAACATGTTGATGAGCAGGTCATTGTATGGCTAATCTCTATAAAAGCCTGATTTAAGCACTTCATTTCCATTGTGCTGCCCTCTCTTTTGTTTCATTTGACAGGATTTCGAGCCAACCCAACAAACAGGAGATGTTAGTGATAAGACGGTGCATGCAACATTAGCATAATGACCTCTTTATAATGATAATCCGCATCATTTTTAGGTTTTAACGCATCAGATTTAGATGAAGGACTTTACACTTGATGTACAAGAATTATTCATAATTGTTTAAAGCCGTCAAAGCTGAGAAATGCATAGATTAAAGTTAACAATAGAGTTCTGCAGGAATGAATCGCTAAAACTAATAAGTTGCATCTGGTTCCCTTGTCTCTTTTCTTTGAATGGGTTTTTGGTTGAATGCTATTTTATCCTATGACGTAATATATGTCAGTAAAAACCCCACTGGTGATCTTTTGAAGCTTTTACGTCTCTTAAATATCATATTTGTCGGAGCTATTCGTTGTTTTGAAGCTTTGTCTACTGTCTTGGAAATCAGCTATCAAATAGCATGTTGTGTCCCAGTACCAAGTTGTTATTCCATGGAATACCAAGATCAACAAACAAGCTAGAAGTCTGTCGTTGGAAAGGAAGTGTGGAAAGTTCAGAGTTAATTAGATTAGTTCAGAGTCCAGGCTACCATTTTTAAGCTTTGAGGTAACAGTCCACTGAGAGTTGAAGGGTGACCCCAGGCATTTTCATAAAGTTGGGGAGATTTTTAAAAGGCGGATAAATTGGAAGCTGAGATATTTTGACTCTTCGTGACTCATGCCTTCAAACTGCAGCCTCTCAATCTGTAATGCAGGTTTTCTGTTGGTGTCCAAGCTGAGATACCTCATGGCATCACTACAGCATAGTCAGGGTTATTTTCTCAGGCTTGACGCAGCTCCTTCAGTGTCACACAAGACATTACACACTCCACATGATGTGTGATCTGCATGTGTGAAATCAGAGGAAGCACAAACAATAGCACCAGTGGGAAGTATTTTTCCTACCTTTCAGGCAGCCTTTGTTTTCCAGTCGTTTACCTTTAGCAAAGCAGCTAAAAGTTAAGTGTAACCTAATAAACTGGCTACTGAATGTATATCACAATATAAAACTGAAAGGAACCATTACTTTTACTTTAGAGTAAAAGTGTTTATTATCCATAAGTAGATTTTATAGTGTTGTATTGCTACTTTTACTTAAGTAAATCATCAGAAGGCTTCCACCAACACTGGTGAAATGAATGGAATTCAATGATTGCATAAAAAGAAAAACATAAAAATGTAGAGAATATTCAGTGAGTGATTTAACACATTCAACACACACTAATGCTGAGAACAGGTTATTATGATGTTGCCTAATTACACAGTCTCAGTTGAATATGTTCCACACTTTTACTGAAGTTCTGGACTTAAGTGTCATTTTAGAACCTTAAACTTCGTTTCAGAAGAAATATTGTTCTTTGATCCCACTGTTTGACAGTTATACCTTGTTTTACATAGAAAACAACAATCTGAAACTGAAAAGGGACCATTATGGAAAATTAATTCTCTTACTTTACAGTAACTTTAGTTTTTATAGTGTTGTATTGCCAGGAATGCTTCCACCAACACTGATGAAATGAATGGAATTCAATGGTTGCATAAAAAGTAAGAAAAAAAAAACCCCATAAAATATAAACATAAAATATTAAGTGAGTGATTTTAATACGTTCAACACACGCTTAGTGCTGAGAACAGGTTATTGTGATGTAGCCTAATTACACAGTCTCAGCTGAATGTGTCCCACACTTGGAGACTCATTTACTCGGTGTGTTCCATTGGCCGACGCTAGGAGCTGTCCGCGGTGCTGAATGCGCGGCGGCGGCGGCGCTGCCCTGAAGAGGAGGCTCCCAGCACAGAGCACAGAGAGGGGCAGCGACGGCAGCAGCAACAGCTCCACAGTCTCCAGCCTCCAGCCTCCAGCCAGAGGAGTCAGCGCAGTCAGCGCACTCAGCCAGTCAGTCAGTCAGCCAGCCAGCCAGCCAGCCAGTCAGTCAGTCTGTACGCAAACTAAAAGCCCCTTGTCTCTGTGAATGAGTAGATCGAGGCGGCTGAAGTCAGCGAGAGGAGCGCTCGGTGTGTGTGAGGACGGTGCTCGGCGGAGCTCTCAGTGCTTCAGTCCGCCACAGGAAAAGTGAGGATCCCAAGGACGTTCACTGTACTAACAGCTAGAGAAGCGTAAACCGGAGAAAACGTGATGAACGCGGTCAGAGATTATTTTCTTCTCCTTGTTCTGGTGGCGGCGGTGACGGAAACGGGCGCTAAAGGTAAGAATTGTCCGAAAATATTTAGCCCACTCTCTAATTATTATTTTTCTTTTTTTTCTTCTTTATTCTCTCCGCTGAATGAGAGTGTTCATGAGAGGCTCTCAGCCCTCGACCTCGCTGCTCCTAAGTGAGCGGTTTCTGTTGTGGATTTTATTTTATTTTTTTTGTCTTATTTTCGCCCGGGAATCTTTCCGTTTGCACCGTTTTCTTCTCTACCTCCATGTGCTCACACGGCTGACTGCAAACACACTCCTGAATGTAATGAACACATCAACAACGACAGGGACGTGGTGTTTTTGTTAGATTTTAGGTTGGGTTTTTCTCATTCTACTCAGATCATGTATGCACAGTGTATACATGCAGCACAAGACCTCAGAGCCTGTGAAAGTTATAAGTCAGAACACAATTACAGAGACTGCAGAATTCAGACCCCTTCACTTTTTACATAATGACAAAGTGAAATCACTTTTTTCTTTTTAGACATTTCTGCAAATTTATCCAAAATCAAGAACTGACATCTCTGATATTCAAAAGTGCGCAGAAGCTGCTTAAGCTCTGAGTCTTCTTGGGTAAGTCTCTACAAGCTCTGGGTTTGGGCAGTATAACTCATTCCTCCTGGCAGATCCTCTCAAGATCCATCGCATTGGATGGAAAGTGTCTGTGAACTGCTTTCTGTGCCGTTTAGGTCTGGGCTTCGGTTGGGCCACTCTTGGGCTGGGCTGTATGCTTCGGGTCGGTGTCGTCGCCCCTGTCTCAGATAGCGTGCACTCGGGTTTTCTTCAAGGACCTCTGTGTGTGCGGCTGCATTCATGACATCAATTCTGACCAGACTCCAATCAGGAGTCACAGGTCTTTTACTCAGAGTGACTTCCCTCTTGCCTCTCTACCATAAAGCCCTGATTGATGGGGTGCCGCTAAGGTGGTCGTCCTTTCGAAAGGTTCTCCCTTCTCTGCGGACGACTTCTGAAGCTCTAGAGTGGCTGTTGGGTTCTTGGTCACCTCCATGACTAAGGCCCTTCTTGCCTGGTTGCTCAGTTTGATTGGACAGTCCTGGTGGTTCCAAATTTCCTTTTCACAATCATTGAGGTCACTGTTCTCCTGGGAACACTCAAAGCTTTAGAAATGGTTTTTGTACACTTGGCCCGATTCATGTCTCGCTGCAATTTTATCACAGAGGTCTACAGAGAGTTCCCTGGACTTCTTGGTTTGGTTTTTGTTCTAATACATATTGTGAACTGTGGGACCTTATATACACATGTGGACTCCAATCCAGTTGTAGACACATGACCGCAGTCTGGAGGGTGGAAGGTCTGAATACTTTTTACATGAGAGATTTCCGTTTTTAATTTTTAATGAATTGGCAAAAATTTCTAAAAACTCACTTCACTTTGTCATTATGGGTTATTCAATGTGGATTAATGAGTAAAATGGCAATTTTGCCCATTTAAGATTAATTCTACAAAATGATAAAGTGTGCAAGAAGTGAAGGGGCCTGAGTACTTTCTGAAGTCACTGTATATAGTAGAAAGTAGAGTCTAATAATAGCTGAAACTTCTTATCTCATTCCTCTATAGTTTCATTATCCTTGCCTCAATTTGAATTTTTAAGAAAACTCAAGTAGGCAAACAGGCTGATAAAAATGTCATTTTCCAGCCTTGGAAAAAAGTCGAAGTGCTCCAAATGAATTCAGCCTATCTCCTGGTCCTCTTGTCAAAGTAGTGGTATGGCTGATAGTGTTTTTGCAGCCTCCCTGCATTATTCATATCCCCTGACAAAATAGAGTCTGCTACAAAACATGGCTGATGTTAGAGAGTTGTCTCCCTGGATAGTTGCAACGATTTGAACAACCACTCAATATTTTCCTCTTGCTTGCTCTTCAAAATTAAGTCCCAGGGATTTGTCATTAAATCAAGTCTCACATTGGATGGTTTGTGCATTAAAAGCTATTATCCAAATATCATGCAGGCGCCTCTTTGTGTTGGAGAAATTACACGAAATGAACTTGTGACGGAGACGGGTTATCTGATGACAGACCCCCGTTCTGTCAGTCATCTTTTAATTGGATGTTTTTGTGTAGACACAGCTGACGCCTTGATAATTCAGGTTTTGATTGTGACTTGCACCTTTTGTTTGTATAAATGTGTTGAATGGCTTTGTGCATTCAGGTCCACAGTCTGGCTGCAGACATGCAGACACAGATGGATTGAGCTGTTTACTTATTTAGTCCAAACTCCTAAAGTTTTGATTAGTTTTTTTTTTAAGTTGGGTGGGTGAGTTTCATTTATAAAATCAGTGATTTAGAAAGGTGATACTATAAAGAGCAGCTGAGTGCATTCCTCGTTTACATATTAGTTGATGTGGAGGCCAGGTTGTGTTGCACAAACACAAACGAACATGAGGTCCTTGTGTCCTATTTCCATAAGTACGTGCTGAGTCTGAGCAGGTTTGTCTCTGTCGTATGTTCCCGCAGTGAAAAAAGTATGTAGACGAAAACTGCTTTTGACTGCACAGCACTGCTGATGTGCACCATTGTCTTTCAATGCAATACAGAGGGGAAATGGAGAAGCTACTCACAGCTGGTAGGAAATGGAAAATAAAATGCAGATGGCGGTGTTTCGGAGAAATATAAGAAAATATATATTTTGCTTTCTCTTTGTGAAGTCAATAGATATTAGATGATGGTGATAATGGGCAATTTCTGAATACAGGCAAGCCCAAATATCACGATATACGATATTATGGCGATATTTGGGCTGGCCTAGAATATTTATAATATAAAATAATATACTTGTATTTTATGTTTCACGTCTAAGTGAAGTTGTTTCTTAACAGCAGTTAAACAATCACAGGTCTGACTTTTTTTGATATTATGAGAAATATCACATTAGGCAGGAAATATCGTGATATCCAATATTATCGAATATCGGCCCAAGCCTCGTGGTGGGAGTCTGATTATCCTGTTGTATCATTTTCTGTTTATATAAAATGGAAAAATACGTTGATTTCTAAATCGAACTACCTGCACAACAGAACTGTATAAGGTTAGCACTGTGTGTGGTACTGAATATAATTAGTATGTAGTATGGAATCAGGAAGCATGAGGGCTGAGATGTAGGAGATGTATGAGCAGAATCAGTGAATAAGTAAATGGAGTGCTATATTCTAAGATTCAGTTCTTATAATTTACCGTTTCTACACTTTATATTTTGTTGTTGTTAGTCACAACACAGAGAGATGATAAGAGCACTGGGAGGGCGGCAAATAGATACAGAGAAAAACCTTCAACTTTTTCTTAATCTTTTATCAGATTGTCACATTCGATTTCATTTGATTATTTATTTCTTCTGTAATTTGCAACAAAAAGAGACGGATACAGACACACAATACATGATTGAAGAGGAAGAGGAGGACGAAAAATCAGTGACACTTTCTCTTTGTGAAGGTTTTATAAGCTGTTACTGATAAATCTTCACGGATCATCATGTGAATAAGAAAAACTTTTGTGTTGACAGGTTGTGAAAAACTTCTCTGGCCTGTGAGTCGTTAGTAGTCAAGTCATCAATTATGCGTCTGAACAGCAAAAGTCAGTAACTCATCTGTGACTGGATAATGCGACTAAGTTACAATAATCCATCCAGTCTGTTGTAGTAAATGTTAAGTTGTTATTAAATGGATTTTGGTCCAGATATCCTGCGACCCTTTAACAGGTGAGAGGTCAAACTGTCTCCCTGATGAACCAAAGAGCCAGAGAGACGAAGCACAGCATGTCATGGAGGATAAACACCAGCCACAACCTGGCAACCCTGAAATCATTTCTATTCAAGGAACAGGTGCCCTTATGTACTGTACCTCCTTTCTTGCTTTAATCATTCCTTCATTTCATACTGGCCAATCAGAGATCGCCTCTGACGTGCTTCCAGTGGAAGTGATGTGGAACAACATCCACTGTCCTCTGTCTGTGCGGAAATGTAGAACTTCATCTGATGTTAATATCAGTAAATCCCATCTTTGCGTTACTAAGAATCCACCGTAGCTCAGTGATGAAACACCGTCTGTGGAAACACAAAGAGAAACTTAATGATTTATTAACAACTGATTAATCCATTAGTCACAACTTTTAAACCCTTGTCGGAAATTTTCTCCCAAAATAGTATATTTCTCTAAACTGAAAAACAAACATAGACAGTCTTTGACATCGGACCTCTCCGCTTTGTTACAATATTCTAAAGCTTCTGATCTGCCATTTTTCAGCATGTTTTGTGGGTCTACAGTCGGCCTTCCCACTGTTCAGTGTTCATCCATCATCGACACTGTTGAGATTAATCTGCTTTATGAGATGCTATTCTTGCTCTAATAGACAAGTATCACCCAAGGCAAGTGATAATTCACATTAACAATGGCCATCCTTCACCCTGCCCTTTGATTAGCCTGTAATCAGCAGTGCCAAGACCCTGCAGCCACTTCGTCTGGCTGCCACTTCCTGCTATGATACTGATTCAAAGCTCCTCACTGTCACTGATGCACAAAAACAGCGTTCTCTTTGAGAGCCTCGCTCACATAAAATAAACCTAGCATGAAATAAACATGGGGTCTTTTGAGTAGCAGAAAGGCAGAGATTAAAGAGACTGTGCTGGTTTAGCGATGGCTGTGCTGGCCTGGGGTGATTGTCGTGTCGCTGACCTTGAACTTTGACCTCTCTGGAAGGCGGGAAGTTTCCCCCTGTAGGGATCTGTAACATAAATTCAATAAATTTAGAAGGGGAATTGGTGGTGCAGGTTTAATACACACATATGACCATCATCCAAAGCATGTCATAGTGCAGTGCAGCGTTTCAAATGAATCTGCATACGTTGGACCCTTTGGCTAAAATTAGGTGTGTATGTAAATTATGTTCTGCATACCGACCCGCAAACAAGCTGCTGTACCTGCCCTCTGGTTTGCTGCGAGTCGTGTGGTTTTCGGTAATTTGATTAACCCTCTGAACCTGGTTGGAGTATTTT